TTAATTTTATTTTAATATATAATATTAATATATATCGGTATGTAGCACTTGATGGATGGTCAAGCCCAACTAATGATTCGCTATACAACTTTATTATTTGCATACCTAATAGAAAAGAATACTTGTATGCTATTTTAGACTTTTCTGATATGGCACAAACTGGCAAGTTTCTTGCTTCTAAAATTTCCGATATTGTAGATAAAATTGGCTCTAGTAAATTTGCTGCTTGTGTAACAGATAATGGCAGCAATATTCAAGTTGCTCGTGAAATTACTATATACAATTATTTACATATCTGGAATATAAGATATATCATACATATGTTAAATCTTATTGCTAGTGATTTTGTAAAAGTTAAATCCGTTAATCATATCTTAAAACAAGCCAATCAAGTTGTTTAATTTTTTAAAAAATCATATAGAGCATGTTGACTTTTATATGATGGTATAAAAAGTATGAATATAAGTGGTGGTGGCTTAGAAACATATGTCAAAACCAGATGGGCTTCTATTTTTGAGACTATATCTTCGATTATAAGACTAAAACCTGTTTTTGATATGGTATATATAAAATACAAAAATATATATTATACGTACATATGAGATTAGTTTTTTTATATATATTAATATATATGTGTATGTTTAATTAGATTTTAGAAAATAATCGAGATATAATTAGCAAACAAAATATCATTTTATTGTTAAGTGATAATGATAATATATTTTATACTAGTTGTTGTCGAATTGCATCTATAATTCAACCTATCAAAGAATTAATAAATCATCTAGAATCACATACTGCAAATCTTTCTGACTGTTTTATCAGCATAGTAAAACTTGCTGCTGCTATTAACAGAATTCCTACAAGTAATAACTTTTGTATATCAGCAATTAGCATATTTAATCACCGTTATGCAAATTTTGATATTGAACCATATTTACTTGCATATTTTCTTCATCCGGGTTATCGAGGTACTAAAATCTAAAACTGGTTTATATTTTGTTAAATTTAGATTTAATAAAACCGGATTACTATTAAAATATTTCAAATATTATTATTATAAATTCTAATTTTTTTTAAATAATTATTTAGATATAGGAATATGTCAAGAAATATTTCAACGAATAAGTGATATTGCTTCCAAGTACTTTTCAAGTCTTTATAATGATGATGCTGCATGTAATCAGTTAACTACCCAATTAATTCACTATAAGAATCGAGATTATCTATTTAATTTTGATTATGACTCCTCCAAAATACCTAGCTTATGGTGAGAAGTAATTGAAGATGAACATAATTATCTTCAGGAATTTGCACAAATTTTTTTTGCTATTACACCTTCACAAGCAGGTTGTGAACACAATTTTTCTATTTTAAAATGGTTATATGGAACTTACAGATCACGATTATCACCTCAACGAATTGAAAGCATGGCGCAAGTACACTCCTTTTATATTTCTAATCTAAAAAAGAGCTTTCATTTTATGAAAAAGAATTATCAGAAGAAGACTTATGAGATAGTGCATTAAACAAAACAACATATACAATTTCAAAAGATAATGTATTTTTAGATGACATTGAAAATTCTTCAACAAATTATCAACCATTCAATAATCAAAAACTCGAAATTGGATCAATCGTTGATTTATCTAGTATAATTTTTGGCGGACAAGGCAATATTGAAGAATCTGCAACAGTGCAAGAAAATAGTAATATGGATTTTGATCCTTAAAAAGTGAATTTGTTAACAAATACTAATTTTTTATAATTTACATTAGATTGGATATTCACTAAATGTTATAGAATTTTATTTCTAAAATTTATATATTTTAGTAAAAATCTATATAATTTTGATGTTTATAAACCATGTTCTTAGAAATTTAAGCTTGTATTAAAAGTATAGTTTATTGTAAAATTTGGTAACTAATAATTACTGACTATAATTTCTATAAGTATGTCTTTATGTATTTGATTTCACAATAACTTAAGACTCGAACCTTATTGTTCAATTATAAAGAAACCTTTACGATCTTAACATGTATATGTGTATATAAATTTTTGGTAGATTTTACAAAAGCAAAGTTATGAAGTATATAGTTAGTAAACTGCTATTAATTACTCAAGAGTCTTTTTATTCTAAAAACGAAGGTAGAATAATTATATCAATACCTGTTCAACCTGTATAAATTGCTACTTCAGTTTTTTTTTTTCCAAAGAAAAAAAAGATAGAAATTCGTTAGTTCATACTTGGTATTCTATAGAATATATATATTTAAACATATTAAATAACATTTTAAAGTTAAATTCAAAAGTAGTTTATAAATACTGTATTAGCACAAAGCTTCAAGTTACGTTTTCCCAGCGGTGATATTGTATAGAGAAGAACCGTAATATAATATAAATGGTGTAACAGTCTTTAATAATTGCGTTATATGATTTCTTATTTGGGACATCGTCGTAAGTTTCGGTTGGTCCCAAATATAGTTTGGATTATGACATATTTGTAGACCCAGTAAAAACCTTTAGGATTTTACTAAGTTTCAAATTACCAAGTTTGGGCTACATCCCAAATCAACACCTTCTAACCAGCCTTTCAAGTTTCTAGAATGCTAGTTTATATTTAACAATAAACACACTAAACAGGTTAAACTAATTCAAGAAGAAGCTCTTAACTTGGCATATACAGCTAGTACCAAAAAGATAACAGACAAGCAAATAACTTATGTTATTAACACGGTCATAATTCCTACAGTAGAATACAGGATCTATAACATTGTCATTCCACAATCAATATGTCTCAAAATGCTTGACACATATCTTACTATTGCCAAACATAAAGCCCACCTAGCTTGGTCAATTCTTAACAGCACAATGCTTAATCACAATATCTACAATATTCGCAATATCTGGAATATATAGCTCTAGCACCACACTAGCAATTTTCTACTTAGAATCAACAACAGCACTACGCTTGGCACCACTACCCATATTAGGCTTCAACAACTTCAAAACAACCTCTGGTCAACTACTTGCATTCTACAACACCCTCAGCCTATTATTAAAGGACCCAACAGAGGTACTACTATATATAAAATAATTATATTACTACAACAGGCTAAAATTAGTATAACAACCAACCCAAGTATAGCCTGGCCACAAACCATACAAGACAGCAATACACCACTAGAACCTATATTATCCAAAAGTAGCAAATACAAAGTATTTAAACAACAGCTCCGCAACAAGCATATTCTTTACTTGGAACAACTTAGCTTAGCAGATAATGACCACTTGCTAGAATGGCAACATATTCCCCAGACTTCGACACCTTCCCAAAGGGAAAAAAACCATACTAGTTCTGTTTTCTGAAAGACACAATTATCAGCAACTTACAGCTTTGCACAATATATTTACAATACCGACTATTAGGTACAAACCTAATACTATCCCTAAAAGACTAAAACCATGGATACTCACATACCAATATAACAAGATCATTATTGGTCAAGTTAGAAAAAAGCTCAAACAAACTAATACTACCTCTATTACACATTGGCAACATGACATAAATGTACAACAGCACCTACCTTACCCTTTACTACCTATAACATGTACTCCATGCCTCGGCTGTAACCTCAACTCTAATCAGCTAGCTAACTACTGCACTATTGAAATATCCAATACTATATCCACACAATTTCTAGGGAGAAAACAACTAACAAGCAGGTTAAACTCAACGCAAACTACATTAACCTAATATACCCTACAGCAATCAAACACTCTATTACTATTTCATCACCATCTAACATCAATATTACAGACTCCCTAGCTCCAGTTCTCTTTTATAATAGTGAAGCCTGCCTAAAACTATTACAATTCTCTCTCTCTAACAATAGTATACAAACATTTACTTTTTATACAGATGGATCAGTATCAGACATAGATACCAGTAACTACTCAATGGAAATAGGTTGGGTGCAACTAGATAATAACCAAATTACCAACCAATTTTCAGCAAAAATTCTCAACTGGCCTTCCTCATACAAAGCTAAACTTATCGCAATTTTATCTGCTATCTCTACAGTATCTCGTAATACCAAAGTTGATATATATACTGATTCCCAATCAATCATATCCAAATACGATAAACTGCTATACACCTCTACCAAATCTTCTAAGTATTTTAAGTTTGACTACTGGTCTATATGGCATACACTCCTTAATGCTACCAAGGCCTTCAATATTAAGCTTTCCTTTTACAAAGTCCAGACACATACAAACAGGGGTACCGAAAAATTAATTGCAACTCAATTAATACGCAATTATAATTGATTGTAATTGTTATTGTATCCAATTA